TGTTTTTTCTGAAGTTTATATATATATATATATATTTTATTTTATTTTATTTTTAATTTTAAACTATTTTTTTACAGCAAGTAAATCGTGTACTTTTCATTGCTATCTAATCATGAATACACCAAGAAATTACATGAAAAGTTTGACAATTCTATAAAAAAAAATAATAAAAAAAAACTTTGAATTTTTAGTCAAAAATGAGAGCCACCCCTATTTTTCATTTAATTTTAAATTATTATTCATTTTAAAAGTTCAATTTATTTTTAAAATACAACTTATTATTAAAAATAAAGTTTTAATTATTTTTTCTAAAAAAAATCATTGTTATTATATCACATTACTTAAATACTTAATTTAACCATTAAGATTTATCTAATGATGAAAATTTGTATAGTATATACATAATTTTAAGTTCAAATTTTAGAAATGTTCTTATAGTTCTGATGTATAAAAAAATCAATTAATGATATAATTTTATTTAAATAAGAATCTTTTAATCGAAGAAGACTATTAATTTTATTATGATAATAATTAATTTTTCAAAGATGTATGCATTGATTTAAATTGCAGACAATTTGAAACGGGTTTGCTTATTTAAGATATTATAAGCAAATTTAATTAAAAAATATAGCATTTATTGATATTAATATTTTTTTTATTTTTTTTAAAATAATTATAATATAAATATGAAATATTTATCATAAAAAATAGTGATTAATTTTTATTAAAATCATAAATGAGTATAAAATAAATATTCTTTTTTTAATATAATGTATTTCATACTTAATAATGACAAGATTAAAACCTTTAACAATTTAATTAAGAATAACAAACAAACCGTTATTATTTATCCAATATAGTGTTAATATCAATGTTCTTCTCATTATAAATTTGATAAAAGAAATTTATCTATTAATTTCTTAACCAATCTCCTAAACAAATAACTGGCCACTGGCCAAACTGGATGGAGGGATTATATATTTCCCGGGTCGGTCACAAGAATGTTAAACACTTAAACCACACATCACGTCCCTTCACGTCCATAGGGTTTTACTAATGACATATAATATTAGAAAAAACACTTGCATATAATTAATTTATTGAAAAATGTCATCAACACCACCTGCTATTTTGTTAGAAATAACATAAAAATTGTGAGTTTTATATTATTTAACTATTCTCATTCACACAAAATTTTATTAATTTTAACACATAAAAGAGAATGCATTTGTAAAAGTGTTTTCAAGAGAACCACGATAATCAATCTAGTACATAATTAGAATTGAAATAACACACAAGAAATCCAGGTTCAACCTTTAGTGAGTCCACCATACCAAAAAATATAGTATGTTTAAGAAAATGTTACTAACACTCTAATTTCTTAAATGCTTCTTGTTCAATTCGATAATCCATAGAATTAGGATTTGAAATAATGGAATTACAAAATAAAAAAGAATAAGGTTTTGAAAAAGATCAACCAACATTGTTTTCTCTACATGTTCAAAGATCAGACAGATTATAGAAACGAAATTGATCATAAAATAACACTGATCTAAAGAAACATTATTTGAATCATGATAACAACACGTACGTAGGTTTTTACATGGCGTACATCAAACTTACCTGCTTCCCTTAACATTACGTTCAATTCTTGTCATCATCATGAAAACCACTCCCTCTAAAACCCCATGAATCACAACACTCTCCCCCCTTAGTCGCCACACTCGTGCCATCTCCAATCTGCTGTTGATCAGACACAGCCACAGTGGAAGAAGAAGATGACGAGAACAAAGCAGAAGAACCCGGATCATGAAAAGCCTCATTAGTACGATGCTGATGCTGAAGACCCGAAGCAACACGTTGTAGATCATCATCATCCCTACTCCACAGAAGCTGTGCATACTGCATCAGATTTGGAAACCCTTCTGATGATGACAACGATAATGGTGGTGGTGACCACAATGATGATACTGAAGTAGCATAGTTATTAACATTATTGTCAATGTGATTAATGTTACTAGAATGTGATGATGGCATGGGAGGAACAAGAACATGTTCCGGGAAATTGAGCTTGGCTTTGGAGCCTTTGAACTTCAAGGCAGCAGCATCGTAAGCAGCGGCTGCAGCCTCTGCCGTGTCAAACGTGCCAAGCCAGACTCTAGCAGCCTTTTTAGGGTCGCGGATTTCGGCAGCCCATTTCCCCCATGGTCTCTGCCTAACTCCTCTATAGTGTCTTTTTCTTGCATTGCCTTTCAATTATTGCATACAATAATAATATTAATGCTTTAGTTAGGCAGCAATATTTCTTGTATGGTCCAATTTGTCATTTATGAAACACACATCAACTAGCTACCCTAACAAATTAAAGTGCCCATCCATGGGAAATACCGAACCACTTGTCTCAACAATAATCAAAATCATTACATGAAGGGAGATAAATATACAATAAAGGGAGTGTCATTTCAAGTGGTTTGGCATGGCTTGGCATGTAGTTTTCCAAGGTAAAACATATTTTACATGTGCATCATCAGCCATCAAGAGAACAATAGCTTTTTTTTTTTTTTTTTTCAAAAAAGAAAAATAAAAGATACCCATTTCTTTTTATCCTTTTTCAAGGAGAGATCCAGATTTGCTAATTGCACTTAGGCTAGTATAATAATAACAAAAAAAAACAATTTTTTTTTGAAAAAGCTTAGATCTTTATTTTGGGTCTCCTTATATAAATTTGTTGTAGAAGAAAATGAAAGAAAAAAGATTGATCCGGAATTGAAATTATTGATGTATATAAATAATAATATATATAAATTGAAAAAAGTGTTGGTGCATGAACTTGGCAAATTTACCTTGATTTAAAGGCTGCTGGGATGGGTCGTGCGTCTCAATCAAGGCTAGTTGACCATATTGTGGTATTGGTGTAGAGATGGTGCTATCATCACCAGTGTTGATTGGAGGTATATAGGGGAATAGAGAAGCTTCTTCCTCTTGCTTCTTAGATGATGTGTGAACAGGAAAATTGAAATCTTCTTCCCTTTTCTCCCTTGATGCATGATCACAAGGGAGAGGTCTCTTTCCATGCCTTCGATCCACCTTGATCAACTCTATCCAAGGTTCTTCTAGGCTTATATGTATGTATGAACTCAACAATTTTGAGTGAGCTTCGTGAAGACCTAGGAGCTATATATGCCTTCGTATAAAGCAGATCTAGAATTCCTAAAAGAGAAGAGTGATTGAATATGAACCGAAAAATCAATATAAAAAAAAGGATGCTCTTATCATCGTTTAATTTTTTAAATAAGAAAGATGAGGTTGAAAAAAAAGAAGAAGAATATTTACTAGACGAAGGGAAAAGAAAAAGATAACCTTGCTTGTTACTTTGAAGTCCGGTTTATTTTCTCCGTTGGAAATGAGAAAGAAAAGAAAAGAGCAATAGCGAGTTTTGTTACTCCAATAAGAAGGAAGAACAATTACCTTAATTTTTTTTTCTTTGCAAATAGGTATTTAAAATTTTAATTTCGTTTAATCTGTATTTATATTTTTTAACTTTCACAATTCATCAGTGCTATTAAATTAAATAAATTATTAACGTCTCTCTCACACAGTCTCCCCCCCCCCCCTCTCTCTCTCTCTATATATATATATTTAAATAATTATCTTAAATAGAGTACGTACTATTATAATTACTATCTTTCAACGAACGCATTTTTAACTGATTTTCTACAATGATAATTTTTTTTTTGAAATTTTTCTCAACTTCTCATTTCTTTCAAAAAAAATTAATTTCATATTAAATTCCATTTTTTTTAAAACTATCAACAATTAAAAAAAATATATTGAAATATCAATTGTTTGTTATAAATCTAACTATATTTTGTATGTTAAAAAATATTTATAATTATAATTTATATTTAAAATATTTATTTATTATATATTATAGCTATATAAAATAAATATTTATCATGATAAATTGGACATGCTAAAATATTTCTAAAAAATTAAATATATTATATTTCAATTATTCATTTATTTTTCTTATAATTTATTTTTTAAGTATTAAAATATAACCAGTATTTTAGTCATAGAGAAATTTTATTTTCTATAGCAAAAACTAAAATAAATATATAGTTTAGAATGTATAGATTATGTTATAATTAATTAAAAAAAATTATTTTTATTATACAATTATATTCTAAATTTATTATAAAAGGGCTTAATTTCAAGTCAGAATTAAAATAGTAAGACAATCCAACTGAATAAACAAGAAATTAATCAAAAATAAACATTTAGGGTTGAAAGCATAAATTATACCACAATCTTAACAACAAAGTTAGTTATTCATGGTGAGAGAAAACACTACAATTAAAGTAGAGATAAATAGAGAAAATAGGGGAGAAATCCTTTACGACAAAAAAATATCTCTCATCTGAATAAAAATAAAAAACATCTTTCATCCTTCAATGATGTACCCTCTCCATCCAGAAGTACTCATTTTTCACTAGTTAACAGTTTTATTTGCCACAATAACTTTTTTTTTTGTTTAATTCAATAACTCACTGTGTAATTTTCGCAACTTTTCTTATTTATAATATTTACGAAACAATATTGAAACGCAAAGCCTAACACTGTGGTGCTTAATAAAATAAATCAGTTACTTAAGTGGGAAAGATGAATATTTCTTGGAACATTTTTGTCCTTCATAATTAAACTATTTTTTTGTCAATAACTACAACTTTCAAGGAGTCAAACAATTTATCACACAATTAACAAAATAATAATAAAAAGATATGCTCTTTCAAATTCCTTTAGTAAAAATATAATTGTGCAAGTATTTAAAAGAGTTTTGAGAGGGAGAAAAAAGAACACTAAAATTTATATTGATTCACTCTCAACCTTAGAGACTTACATCCAGTCCTCAGTAGCTCATTAAGATTCTCACTAACATTACCAAAAGTGTTTTACAATCAATTTTACACAAAAAATAATCAAGAATTTCTTCAAACCCTATTAGAAAACATTTCAATCTTAGCCAAAATCCTATTCAACTAGCTCAAGAACCTTTAGAAAAATCCTATCTCCAAAGATAAACACAAATTGCACTCAACCCACGGAACAAGGAAATATATCACCTTAATGTGTAAACTTTCTTCAAGACAAGTCATTATACCCTTTTCCTTTATAAACTGTTAACAAATTGTCAAATGATCAAATTGTGTTGTAGTATTTTTGAATTAAAAGATATTGCTTCTAAAAAAAATTGTGCAATATATGACAATGATAATTTAATACAAAATTCAATAAAATGAAACTTCAGTTTGGTGGAAGTTGGTTTAGCATAAGTAAATTAAGGAGAAATAAAGCAATGTAATTAAATGTAAAGTTATCTTTTGGGCTTTTTATCAAACACTTGACAGTAGAGATAATAGAAAATTAATGAGTAAAACCATTGATAATTGAGATTAGACTTCACTAATTCACCATCATGTATTAGTTCACAAAATATTTTCCTATATATTTATATATTTAATGAACATTACTACTAAAAATATCCAAACCCTAATTCATTAGAGGCTTAATGTAACATCTTCTATCTCACATGTTTATTAACTACAACACAAAAATAATTTAAGTCAAATAACTAAGTTCCTGCATAGATATTCAATCTAAATAAAATCAAGGTTGGTAAAGGATACTTCATAACAAACTCCTCATAACAAATTCTCTAGTAAAACTTTCAAAAATAACACATAACTAAATAATCCAATATTTTGTACTACAAGTAAATGATAATAAAATGAATAATCCTAAAATTATGTACTTGATGTCACATATCTTATCAGAGCACTTCTACATAAGGTCTAAGCCTAAGCCTCGTCACTAGCATCATCAACATCTTGATGAGCCTCACCAAAAATAACATAAAAAAGAACAACACAGAAACAAGTAGAGTGAGAAATATCTCACTAGTTCATGGCATGACACAAGAGATAGATAGTCAAACACACTCAATACATTCTTTATAACAATAGCATCGATATTAACATATAATTAACATTATCAAACACAATAACTCATTCACAATACATCAATCATTATTCTCAAGATACAATACAGTCACATGAAAATATCAGATGTAATAGATACAGACTCTCGATTAACATGCATGTGGTACCAATCACAAGATATTCGTAGTGCATATATAACAATTTGTCAATTTGTGTGCATATGATGCATGTTACAAAGAATCTATCATATCATGAATCATTATACATACATAAGATTTGTCATACACACGATTTGCCATACATACAATTTTCCACATGTATGATTTGTCTTATATACATTTCATTTACAACATTCAATTCTCATAACTTCACAGTTTCATAGTCAATCTTATCCATCAATTATCACAAGAATCATTCCTTGGATAAGATAATCAACACACACACACACAACAAATTGTATCACACAATAATCACATGTTTACAGTTCAAACACTCATTTTCACAATTCAACCTGATACACCTCAAGTCATTAACAATCAACTTACATTATAAGTTATTCACAATTATTCTCTCTCATGATTTATCTTTCCTAAATATTGATACAAATATCTCAAATCATTCATAAGATCAAACACTTAGAGGGTAAAACTATTCATTATCATCATTCACAAACTACATTTTCATAACTTAATCTTCTAAAACACTGTGTTGTCCAAACACCTTATCTAGATCTATATGTATGATATCAAGTTGATCTTAATTTTATTAAAAAGATAAGACAATTATTTACAATTTCAATGTTGATCTTAGTATCTAATTCTACCATCTAATATTTAAAAAAAAATACAAAACTGCAACATTTTAGTCTAAGTCTAACAGTCTGACCTTTGTTCACTAATTTAATCATAATTCGAGTCAAGTTATTCCAATGGCATTTGAAAGCTAACATCCAAAACTACAACTTTTATGAAGATTATAAAACCTAATTCTGTCATTTAAGTCTAATCGAAAGGCTTGCAACATACGAATGTTACATTTCGCGTACAAAATATGAGGTTCATCTTTTAACTCACATAATTCAGTCATTCCTTAATATATTTATGTGATATTCTCGAGTCTAAATTGTAGCTCCAAATATTTATTTTTTAATCCAACAATTAGAACCCAATTTTCTTAATCACACATAGAGAAATCACATAAAAACAAGACATATTCATACCAAAATTTTCAGAATAAGGCATACTTACACCGAAACTCTCTTCTCTCAATCCAATCAGTAAGAACATATATTAAAGTTTTATGCTACTCTATTATACCATCAACTACTCAAATTCAACCTTAGTTTCACATATTCATACAATTAACATCAATCTTCACTTTGCTATATAAACAAGGGTTTCCTATAGGAACTAAATGTACTCACAGATTCTCAAACAATTCAAATTACATGAAATTAATTATATATATAATTTAAACATCATATATAATGCACATAATTACATACTCATATCAACTTCTCATACGATCACCAAAAATGCATCCCTTAGGGTTCTCACAAAAACCCATAGATCAAGATCCACAAGATTAGTTCAATACATAAAATTAAACATATATACCACTCAATATCATCAATTAGTGTAATGAAGAATCATATAGAAGACAAAAAAATAAGGAACAAATATAAATTGAGTTTTTCTCTCATACAACGCATACAACAAAAAGGAGATTGAGGTCAATCTTACTACCCAACAATTATCTCACACTCAGAGTGAGACTACTCACCCCCTTACCTTAATGAACACTAGCGGATGGACGTGGATCTTCGAAGTGTTTTCATATGAGCTCTAGCTAGTTCTCATTCTCATTCTTTAGAGTGTATGTGTAATATGAAAATGAGAAGCCTAAAATAAAAGAATTACCATAACCACCTATTTAAAATCTTAACCCAAACTTAAACCTTTAGTAAAAATACTTTAACTATATTTTTCTTTTCTTTTCCCTCAAACATTAAAACTTATAAATAAATAATATATCAAATAAACATATTTCTCCCAATCCAGATGATTATAACAAAATACAATAATTAATAATTAATAAATATATAATATCTAAAATAAATATATTTCTCGCAACAAAATTATAATTAAAATAAAATATATAAAAAATTATGATAAAAACACCTATTTTTTTTCTAAATACTTATTATAACAAAATATCAACAAAATACATATTTATCTAATAGATATTATACAAAATAATTTTTACAAATATTTATTATTTAATTAAAAAATACTCATAATTACTAAAAGTCTCTAAAATATATTATAAAACCCCTTTAATTAATTAAAAAATATAAGAAAATAACTCCAATAAATATAAAAAGAAATAATAATTAAACAACTATATGAGTAGAAAATTCAGGATGTTACACTTAATTAGAATTATATATTTCACTCAAATCACCAATTTCTTGTTTGAAGTGGTTGAAATATAGGAATTGAAAACATTGATAGCTATTAAATGACCATTGAACTCATACTTATTCCTAAACATAATATTCAATGGGTGTTTTTTCTCATGCATAGCTTAAGAGACATTAAGAAAAGAGCAACACACTAATTAATGGAATAAAATTAACATAGAATAATAAAATATAAGTTAATACATGAGGTTTAGCTAGTTACATCCAATCAAAAATAGATTCATGATTACATACAATTTTTATAACAAATTAACACATTAATACACACGTCTATCATATATAGAACATTCAATTTCATATAGGTTCACAAAAAGGATCGAGTTTAATCCCTCTCCAACATACATACACATCCTAGAGATTGGGGGTCAATCTCGTTATCCTACATGCTAGAGTAAGGTTCTCACTCCCTTTTTACCATGACCGGTGCTAGCTTCAAGATTTTGCTATCTGAATTTCTATCTGGTTGCCTCTGGTTTACTTTCCTCTTCAGATCACAATGTACGATTAGATCACATGTGAGGCAGACCTAGCATTACTAAAGTATTTAAATAAAACCCTAATTCTCACCCACATGTGTAGCATGTCAATAAGAAATCCAACTAATTAACCTCATATTTGAATTTTTAAAAAATAATTAATAGATATTATTTTATCAAATTACTGAAAATATTTTAAACCCCAATTAATTAATTAAAAAATATTTTATTAACCTATTTGAAAACAATGGGATGTTACATCTTGTAGTCTTCGAACCAAGTGAAAGAGTTTGTTATTAACTGGATAGGCTTCTCGTGCAATGCATTGAATAATTTCTTAATCAAGTCATTATATTAAAAAAGTGCATATAATATATATATATATATATATATATA